CTAACCAACGTTATTGTTAGTATTATCTTATGCACTCAAATTTAACATTTCCTGCTAGTATAAGGAAACGCTTTCTCTGCATCACATTGCCTTAACTTTTGGGGTAAGTTTTGACCTGATCTGATGATGTAAACCAATGAAACATAACTGATTTCCATCTCTGGTTTTCAATAGCCCAACCACATTAAAAGAATGTTAGATTTTATTTCATTTATTTTTATATTAGATATATGAAAATTTGATGACTGCATTTTGTAACACAAGCATTTTTAGGCAGGACTGCTCCACCCTTCTCCAGATGACAGAAGCTTCACTCACAAGAGTATTGATGGGTCATGGGAAAGGTGGAAGAGAAAATGATTCTGTCACAAAAATTTTTACAATTAAATTTAAATTATTGTTTAAATGTACAAGTACTATGCAGTGAGTTAATTTGACTTAAATGGACAATATTACACTATTTTCTGATCTATGTTATAATGTTTTTTCCTCATCAAGAACATACCCAGAGTTGTGTTTTGTTTCATTCATGTTTAACACACAAACCCTGCATTTTAATGCTGAGTCCTTCTCTCAAACTGAAAACACTTTGTGATGCCATGTAGTAATATAGGAAATGCTCCACTGTGTTTTTAAATTCCATGCACTTTCACTAGAATAATTTGAATAATTTCAGCCCTGGAATTACCACTTTATATTGAACAAAAGGTAATAGCTGTTAACTTGGAAACTGCAGCTTTTGAGTTTTAGAAATGTAGACAGACTAAAACGTGTGTGAATGAATCCAAGCACAACTTCAGGTATGTTTTTAGGAGGTAACAACATGACTTAAAGCTCACAGGAATCAATTTCTAATGCTAGTATAGGTCTAGCTCAGTAGGTCTCAAACTTTTCACACCAAATTCCAACAGATCTAAACTAGGTCTAAACAATGACGAAATAATAAAAATTAAAAAAAAAAAAAAACATAAAATGTACTCTGATGAGAGGTCTTCATCAGAGCAGGGTGATATTTTGAGATGCTGCTGAGTCAAAGCAACAGTGTGGAATGTGTGGAATCCAATTGCAGAAGAGAAGGTGTCTGTACATCAAAGCACAAGTACACAGGAATATGTTTCCCATTCTTCCCAGTTGGAAGGAGGTTTGGCTCTGAGCCCAGAATCTCCTCTGATTCATGTTGTAGTAATTAGAAATGTTTATCATTCCTCACTGGTGTAAGGTCAATACGTACAAAGATGAAGTCTCCCGCGGCGGTCTAATTAAGAATGTCGTGGCCTGTTGGGATTCTAGAAATGTGTGATTTTTGATATGTCTAAAATCTGATCTTTGACTGTTCTTGTTCATACTGTGCGCTAATTTGTGGTTGTCATTTATATTCATCCAGGAAGTTCGAGCAGTAGCCACATCTGATACAGTGAAAAAGGTAGATCAGAGCTTTCCTACCAGAAGATACTATGACGAGGGGGAATTTGTGGTTTGGAATCCTGGCCTGGAAAGAATAACCACCCTTTGTGCCAGCGACTTGCCCTTCTCTGTTTTGCACAATTCCTACATAGTATAAGTGACAGAATCTGAAGACAGGATGTAGCCACAACATGTGCAGAGCCAAGACCTCTGCCATTATGCCTCAAGCTGAGAAGACCGGGCAACACGCAAAACAGACAAAATATCTACTGGATGAAGATATCAGAAAACTGGAGCCTTCAGGTCAGCACAGCTCCGAGCTAATAGTTTTCATTCCAATGGGATTTATATTGTTTCAAACTTCCACATTCTCTCACATACACTCACTCACATATTTAGGCAAACTGGAGCTGACAAAGAGGCATGCCTGCACATTGTCTGCATGTTCATGATCACACTTTCATAACCGCAGTGTTCCCCTCTGTTGCTCTGTTTTGCACAAACCGGCATAATTTTGTTGCTCTAAATAAATAGTTTCCCAGCATGAGCACCTTTAGAAAAAGAGCAAATGTCACTCATGCAGTTAGAAAGGAAAATAAATGCAGAACGGCATTGTGCAATATAAGAAAAAAAAAAAAAAACATCCTTAATTCAACAGGTTTAGTATTACTCAAAAAGTACTTTTCTGGATATACAACAATCAAGAACTTTTACACAATGCATCTTGCAATCTGGCTCCAATTTCATAGACAGAAACTGCACTTTTTAACGATTTGTTTTATCAACCCTATAAATTCCAGCTATTCCTTTTGTTCCAAAGTGATACAATATTTTGCACAAACCAGCATTTTTTTTCAGCCATATATTCTTGCACAATAGGCCTTTTCTTTGCAAATAGCCCGGGCTGGTTCGAAGGTCCTAAAAATACAAATGAAATCAATTTCATTCCACAAGACAGTAGGATGAAACCGCTTATAAGACAACAAAAATGTCTAGTATTTTTCAAACCGGATCAGAGGCACTGCAGGCTGCGCTTTTAGGAGCATGGCAATTTGCAGCGAGTTTGTGGTGGCCAGTTCTACAGTGTATCCGATCCGCTGCGGGTTCACATGTGATGTCAGGTGTTATTTGAATGATCCGTCTTCTTTGGGCCAACTCTCTACTCCTACTACATCTCCATTCCCAGAAAAGAAGTGGGAGTGGGTCGCGCCGTCCCCGCCTGTAGCCAAAACGCTATTTCACCACCACCAGGCTGGTTCACTGTAATGCGGGACAGAGTAGGATTTAGCGCACGAAGCATCATCCATCTTTAGCAACTCCCGGCATCTCCCCCTAAACCAGACAGAGATGGATGAGCCTTCGAGCCAGCCGAGTCGCTCCCTTTCCACTCACCCCCTCACCTTGGAAAAGTCCTAAGTATCATGGAGCAAAATCGGCCTCCCCCTTTGCCTTCCAGATGCGCAATTATCTGTTTCTTCCACGTCGCTTCTTCTCGTGTTCTGCCTCACCTTTCATCTGACACCACCGCCCATCTCTGCACCTTATTCATCATATCTGGAATTTTCCTCTTCAAGGGCTGTCAAGTGTACATCTTAGAGCACAAATTAGAAGAAAGTGCGTTGAATTCACTTTTGGCCTTTTTCCCTTGTGAATCCTTGAATGTACCGATTTAGTTGTTGTTTTTTTCCCCCCACTGGTTCTTTTTTCTGACACTATGAGCTATCTGCAATACAAAGCGTGGCCTATTTGCCATGGTAGGATTTTACTTTTCTTCTTCTTCATTGAAATTTGATTTAGAAATTGACTGGTCACTGGTTGGGGAATGAGAAAAGTTCAATAGCCTAAATCAATCAAGTCAATAGTTGATGGACACGTTGCAGTAATTAGGTCCTTGGACAAGAGATTAAAAAACACTTTTGAATAAAATTAAGAAATGATGATATGGAAAAGCTTTGTAATGTTAACTGATAATTTTTAGAAACCATAAGTTGACAATAGCTGTTCTTCCTGACTCTTGTGAGCTTTAAGCCATGTTGTAATGTTGTTACCTCATCAAAAACTTACCTGGAGTTTTCTTTTGTTTCACTCACACATGTTTGCGTAATCCTATGTTATTAGTCTGTCTACATCTTCAAATCTTAAAATGCTCTGTTCTACCTTTTGATGGCACGTAGTGGTAGTTACAAAGTTAATCGCTACCATTTAGTTTTTATTTAGTATTGGCAGTTCCAAGGCTGAAATTATCAACATGATTCTAGTGAAGGTGTATGGATCACAAGGTAGAACAGAGTTTTCTATGCAAGAGAAGATCTCATCCTAAATATGCAGGATTTGGGTATGGGTATGTATGTTTTTGATGAGGAAACATTATAACACACGTCAGACTAGCATACTATGGGCCCTTTAAAGATTAGTTAATGTTTCTCTATTGTAAAATAAATACATAAATCATTTCGTTTAGGATTAAAGTAGAAAGGACAGCCAGTAGCAGGAGTTCCAATATGAGAAGTGATGCTATAAAAACTCAGGGCAGTATCTAAACCAACAGGCTATTTGTCTTCTCCTTACAGGGACATTTTTTTTTGAAAGTGCAGCCAAATCAGGGAAAACATTCATCACAATACATGACTGGTCACTGGTATGGGGCGGCTGTTTTCTGGCTCTGGAAGTAAGATTTGTGAGCGGGCGGAATAACAAACCACACAGTTAAATTTAGATGTTTTTAAATGTTACAATAACCACCAATTTCCAGGTGTCCCTTAAGGCTATATAAAGTCTTCCTATATTCATTGTAGGTCTTCCTCATGCTGACTACAGATGGCACTATTGCCTCTGTCTTTGGCACACTTTTCCACAGCTATTTGCTTTTCCTTACTTTCAGTAGTCACTATCCTATATGCATGTACAGACAAGTTTTAACCTCCAAAACTACTGGACTATTAGAACAAACAAACAAACTTTCAATAGAAATGTTCAGAAAAAAAAAAAAAAAAAAATAAACTAGAACTAGAACTAGAAGCAATGGCAGTACAGACATTTGCCTAATTGGTTAATGATCTCAAGCAACCAACCCACCATTCAGTGTAAAAATTAAATATAGAATAAATTATTTGAGAGTAAAATGATTTTTAGTCATTAAATGGCAGAGAAAATTTATCCACATTATAAAAATTCATTGTTCGTAAAATGCCTGCACACACTGATTATGAATTTGCTCTTATAAACTTTCAACACCCTTACAAACTTTCTAGATACCCACTAACCCTAGACCTTGAGGAAAAAAAAAAAAAAAAAAAAAACAACACTTGTCAGTTTAAGTGACCCTGGTTTTCATTTGTTCCACCAGATTGTAGGGAAAATCAAATGCAGACATATTCATTGAGCCAGACACCATTAAAATATTGCTCAAACAGCTTTCCACACTAACAACTTTGAAATGGGTGACCCATGTCCATTTAAGAGCTGTCCAAAAAAGGCCATAAACTCAGCACTGAAGCTTAATAAATAAATGTTAATGGATGTAACAGTTCTGCATGAGTGAAAGGGAACTTCAAAGACTCATTTGGATCAATGCAATGTCACACAGTAAGCAAGGATACCTTTGGTTCTTTATTTTCACTTGAGATGTCACTTACTGGCAAAATCTTACAAAAAGGGTAGAATGAAGTGTTCTTTTGGTTACTGAAAGTTGACTTGCTGTCAAAGATAATTGAAGGGCAAGACTTCCAAGATGAAATCACCATGAAAAAGAGAGCACCTTTCTGTAACCATTTTACCACCAGTTTCACAATGACAGCTGTGATTTGTCAAAAAGCAGACCGTCTTCATAGTTGTTAAGACATTTTATTTTCAGTTTATCCATCAGTCATTCTCTGTAAAGACAATTAAATAAGATGAAAAGAAAACGGTTAATAGTGTAGCATTTACAGATAAAGTGGATCTCTGCAATGTTAATAAATAGAATGGACAATACAAGAATTGCAATTCCAAGACAATGATGTATATTACAAAATGATTCTGCCTGCTAAAGACAATAAGTTGAAAACTGCATACCAGATGGATGAGGACACCTCTGCACTTAAAGGAAAAATGTCTTTAGTATCCATGTAAAGAGTAACTTTACTTTTAAAACACAGTTTTAATCACATCGTGAGGCTAAACTGTGGTTCCCGAAGACACAGAAGACACAATGCAGAGAAGGAGACACTGACATGAGAGATAGATGGGACATCTAGGACATGGTGATCTGCATGGACTCCAGCATCTCCTCCACAGCCTTCACCGAGCATTTGTTTTCCTTTGTCCCACGGCCGGCGAGCTGCAAGAGGCAACCCAAAGAGACAAAACGTCACACAGGATATTAGGTCATTAGTTTAGTATTAGATAAGCCAATTAAATACATCTCTGCCCTAGTTTAGATTTTGTAAAGCTGGAAGGAATCACCATTCGATAAAATTGGACAAGTAACACAAATAAAACTTCTAATTTGAGAGCCGTTTCATAAGTGCCATTTTAGTCCTTTATATGTAATGGCTGCTTCCAGACATGGCATGATATGCCCAATTCCATTTCCACAGAATCCAGTCCAAGAGTTCATAACACACCTAATTTTAGCTCATTTTCAACAGGAAGTGACCCTCATCATATAATTGCATATTGTTCGTGTAGGAGTCCAAGCACACACATTTCTGTATGATTACATCTCAAGACAGACGGAGACTTCTCTCTGATAGATTGACGATACATGATTTATGATGGGCTGGGAAGAAATACAGGCCCTATAAGGGTGAGTAAAGAAAGGAAGCAGTCACCTAACTAATGATTATTTATATGATCATGATTGTTCTTTTGATGAATCAATAAGTTGTCTGGGTTTCAAATATTTTATTTGGCCCATTTAAAGATGAAGTGAAGTCATTCTGATAGAGTTGTGTATAGACCAGACTACTATATGATTAGTGAATAAGTTGATAAATCTATTAACTTATTTCAATCCCACAACCAATATAGTTGATTTAGTAATGGAGTTCAAGGGTATTATTATATGCGTACATGTTTTCAAAAAATCTTTTAGGTTGTGTAATTTTTGTATGCTCAAGAAGGAAATTATAATTCATTTATATTACAGCAAACCAATAAGCAACTTTGCTTAGGCTTATTTGCATTGACAAAATAAAGTTTTCATAAACAGAAACTCAGTCTATACTGTTCCATGGTTTGAATTTTTTCCTTTCCTTTGAGCCAACACAGCGCGGTTGGCTAAGGTGTAGAATTGGCTACGTAATTTCAGAGAGTGACTCATTCTTTTAGATTTAGGGTGTGTGCAGTGTGGTAGCTATAATGATCAGTGCATTTCATTGCCTTCTGCCTAATGCGCCATTACCCCAGGCCCGGTAGTCAATTATCCCCTCAGCCTGAGGTGAGACCACCACATTAACTGTGCCCTGGTCTACAACAGAACAGCAGAGGCAGCCCCACATCTATTTTGAGCGTCTGATAATAGAGTGGTGACGCAGTGAGTCTGTGGCCCATGACAGTGGAACTAATCACAGAATATGTTTAGAGTAGATGGTGTGGCCAGGAGGGCAGTGGCATAGAGCCGCTTTTAATGCCTCTGCACCTCCAATCTACACACCTCTGGCATGTTTAACCACCAACACGTTATTACATCTGAAAATGGCCCAGTCAGTCATGACCTCTCGCTGACATCTGCTTACACACACCTTTTTTCACACTAAAGTATGACAATCACCAGGTATGACTTAATAAAAGTGGACAACTGAAACAAGAAAAGGCTTTTGAGGGACTATCAATCAGCTAGCACAAGTCAAGAGCAGCCTGAAGCTGTCTCACAAAGCACCATTCTCCCACAGATCTAAGAAGTTATTTAACTGGGCAGGAATAAGAGGCAGCCACACACCTTGTTATTTAACTCGTCTCACACAGCAACCAGAAAACCAATCACATGCATGCAAGTCCACATTGGGAAGGCTGTATTACTACCAGGCAACTTAAGCATAACAAGGAGAAGTGCAGTGATGTGACCAGGTGGCTTCATGGTCCTTGAGAGGCAGAGGTGTCTCGTTTAAGTCACCAGAGAAACCCACACAGAAAAAACACTGGAACTGTCCGTAGGGCTCTAATAGTGGCCCAGTTCACCTAAAGAAGCTCATGCTACTATGAAGGAATATATAACATTGTCATTTTACACAGCTAAATTATTCATGGCAAGTCTATGAATAGATAATGAAGTCTTACATTATCTGTTGGCTAAATGTACAATGAGTGATGTATCTCCAGAGAAAAATGTACTTTGCATAAGACATGGATACAATCCACAAGCACTTATGTGAAAAATAATAACCCGGAAGTGGTTTGCACTCTGCAGCATCAGACAAACCTTCAGTTTGCCCCTATTTTTGGATTTTCACACTTGTCATTTTGATTATCTTCTAATTTATGGTTTAATGTTTGCTCTCTAAAATATGAAGCTCAGCTCAAACACTATCAAGAGAGCAGGATTTTTTTTGTGCTGATATACATAAAGAACTACTGTGCAGTCATTGTGAAGCTAGCAACATCACTAAACTGACATGTGTGAAATGTATCGCAGTTTGGTGGTCTTTATGGGCTCGGCAGGGAGCTCGTCTCTCAGCAGTCAGAGCACAAAACCACTTATTATATGTTTAAGGGCTGATGCCCAAATAAGCAGAACACATAAGCTGTGTGGCAAAAATATTTCCTATGCATAAGCTTTACACTTATATCACCATGACAACAGGATAAACCTTTGACACAATTTGAGGGATGTGTAACTCCCCACTGTTTTTGTGCATATGTAGGCACTATTACTAGTATTGCCTGCAGAGGTTACAATCTTCGCAATACTCTTATCACTTACAGAGCTTATTTTATCCAACATTTGTAATTTTGAAGTTTGCTGGGTATATAAACTGTGTCATTTTCCCTCAAAAATTAACAGAAAACTATTGATAGGCACATGACATGTCACTCACCTTATAGGCTCTATTTATTTGAGCTGCTGCCCAAGCTGCGTACTTCATGTTGTCCTTCTTCACCTTTGCGCTAACTTTGGGACTAGCAGCGATGTGACTTGCAGACTGGTGAAAAACACAAATCATTAACACAAGGAAGGGTTAAGGAGAGTGGGTTTTCTATATCAAAACTTGGTTAAGCTGCCTTAAAAAGGTTAATTTCCACATACCACTGCACCAGTCATTGTGGTCCCCAATAAAAAAATAAAAATAAAAAAAAAAGACTCCGGGTTGATGACACAGTGGTACATACTTATGGGCAGGAAAAAGTGAGCACTATAGAGTGTCATTTGCAAATTGTCACACAAGAGGCTTAATTTATCCAACACCATTGATTTCCAGTAATGAAAGATCCAACTAGGATTCAAATAATTCAGGAGAAAAACTAAAGGACAGAGAGGAGAGTGCTACTTAAATCACGGCCTCTGCTCTGCTCTGAACCACAAATCCCATGTTCTTGCCATCATCTCCACACAGCAACCCCAGCGGGTCTACCCTTACTGCACTTCAAAGACTCACTACTAGTGTGCTGAAATCTTAACTACACACCAATCAACTCGGGCTTGCCATTTCAAAAATAATTCTTTGGCTTCTGTATTTTTGCATGCATTCTTTTCCAAACCTCAATAGCAATGATGTCACCCAAAACAGGCTATCCCCAAATAAAGGCATTTACTATTATGGAGGGGATTCCCCACGGAAGTGTTGTGACTAACTAACCACCAAACCAACTGTGGTCACTGCAAATGAGTTGGTGCAAAACAGTGAAAGTTTCCTGTTCGTTGGCTGAACCACACACACCTGTCATGACGTGGACCACCAAGATTAGTTGACAATCTGCAAAACACATCATTAGACAGATCTGTGACTGATAAAGAATAAACTCCCACCTGAAGTATTCACTAAAGACTCGAGTGGCAGTGGACGACATGTCAGGAAACTGCACAGGGCCTGGTCTGTGTCCACATTGACTTGAAAGTTAACAGAGGCAAACGTCTGTTTGGCCCAAGCCTGGTCTGTCACCGCCTGCTGCCCACAAGTGACTGGTTACAAAAAGTAGTGCTATGTGCTACACTGAGGTGTTTGGACTACCTGAAGAATCCCAGGACAGCTCACAGAAAAACAGTGGGGCTCTCTGTCTTAGTCCTGCTTCCACTCTGCACCTTCTATAGCATGCACCGGTTCGTTTGTGTTCTTATGTCAGGTCTCACTTACATATGATGCATTGGTGCTAGCAGACAACATCCTGTTCAAACAAATATGTAGATTAAAGAACGTTGAAGGCCACAATTAAACTGGCACTTGCTTGGTTGGATGAATTGCTGATGACAAAATACTTGCAGCAGTTGTACTTCACTGTGCCCTGCCCTTTTAGTTTAGGGTTGCTTTATTTATTTAAGAACAGCGCACATAAAAAGGTCTCACCAAAAGGGTATTATTACAAAAATAAAGTGGTCCAGAGGGGGAGACTTTCCAATGCTGGAGTTCACCGCCTGAGTCAGCAGCGTGTTGACCTGTCTGAGAGCCCCTTCGCCATACTCCCCCAAAACACACCACATACACACAGGCTCAACCTTGACAAACCACAGAGTTACAAAAATGGTTTGACCATTTTGCTCCTTTTCTCATACAAAGTAATACTTACCATGTACAGACCAAACAGTGCCCTCATGTTTCGGTTGTTAAGTCGCAGCGCTTGGGCAAAATATTTTCTGCTAAGTTCCAGGTTTTCTAGGCCTCCTTGAGTATATTTCACCTGTGTCAAAGGAAACAAATAATGAAAGGCTAATGATTTAATTCTCTGAGATTATGAAAATTCATTTCACTATTTCAGGTCCTTGATTTTGATGGACAAACCTACCTCAGCATACTGTTCACAGTACAAGTGATTGTGAGGATTGGTCATCATGAGCTCTTCGAGGCAAAATGCAGCTTTGCCATAGCTGTGAAGACCAGAAAACAAAAGTTTTAGTACTTAATTTTAATAACTGTGTAGAATATGTTCAAAGATAAAATGTTTTTAGAACTAATTATTCAATGCCATATCACTATGACTTTCTGTTTTAGGTAGAGGACATAAAGAGGCACGTGAAGATCAATCCTGTCTTTCCGGTTGTTTTTTCAGACTTTAATGTGTAGTTAACTACCTTCCTGAGGTCAGTGCTGCAGTCAGACCTGGCACTCACGGCCTAAACTCAGATGAGATCACTTCTCAGCAGCAGACTGCTGAGCTGTTGACCTCACACTAATCTGCTGCCACTCCACTTCTAATACAGTTTCCCTTTCCTCCAAACAGTCCAGGTCACGCAGAGAAACAATGAAGAAATTCAAATCGTGTAAACCTAAAAATAGATTCAAGAATTAAATTCGCTTTCTACGAGCACTTTGTTCAGAGTCATCTGTTCCCACAATGAAGAGTTTGTTTCTTTTGGTTCCACCTTATCATTAAAAAGCCCAAAATGCAAGATGTTAAACCAAATCAACCCTGAATTACAACAAATGTGATTGCTTTTGTGCATCTTCTGAAATCTTCTAAATCATGCACATGCTGTCTTACTGAAGGATACAAGTCTGGCTATGACAACAATTGCTACTCATTTAAAATTGACCAGAAAAAAATACCTGAAAGATTAACAGCATTGGAGAGAAATTAAGGTGGGGACAGAGAGAAAGAAATAAACAGGGGGAAGGGTCTGGGGAGTGGGAGATCAGAGAGGTTGGAAGGTTGAGGCTGCTTACAATTACCACTTCCTCCATATAAAGACTTTCAGATGTGCTGGTGCAATGGCCCAGGCTCACACAGCGCCTGCTACATCAGCTCTGCTTGTATCAGAGCCAGGACTTTACTTCTACTTTTCTCCACTCTTATTGGAATCAAGGCACCCTCATGTGTGAAAGGACTGTGTTAGTTTCTTTTTCAGTCAATGACATAATATTTAACAAAAAATAATTGTTTATTTAATAACTGGATGATGTTGAAAGTTAATAGTACACACTAGTCAAGATCTCAAATCAAATATATGAAAGTCGGGATTAAGTGTCAACTTTGAGCCACTTAATTATATATTTAATGTGTTAAAACTGGTGCCTGCTGCCCTCCTCACAATGGGAGCACCTGTTTATTTTTAGCTCCCAGGGTGTTGCACAGTGAAGTAGGAAAGTTTATTTCTTTTCCTTGCTTGTCCATCAGCCTATGTTTTCTCAAGCCGGAGGAAAGAAAAGTGCCACCACCTTCTCTTGGGAATTTCACAGTAAGTGCTCTCTCTCAACGCAGCCTCCATCCATGTGGAAAAGACAGCTGATAATGTTGGGCTATCCGGAAGAGGAGGAGGGGAAACATGGACTTAGTATCCCAAAATAAAGAAAACAAAGAAAAGAAATTAACACGCCTGTAGATAAGGAGCTGTGGGAGTGAATGGTGTGATATTGGAAGTGCTAGGATAAGCTGTGAGATAATCTGCTCACCCCTGGAGTTCCTCTGGCTACTACAGCAATAAAACCACCCAAACAAAAGCATGAAATATCCAATAAGTAGCCACCACACATTCCTACTACAGCTCTGCACATCCCGGGGCAACTCAGCAACCTGGAGGCCAGTCCCCCCCCCACACACACACTGCATATTGTCAACACCACAGTGAAGCCGCTAACAACGCTTCAGTAATTTCTAAGCTCGAGACAATTTAGGAAGGATAAAAGGTGACACAAACCTATTTCTATACAATGCTGTCTGACAATTCTCCTTGGCAACTGAGGTAGCAGTTGGAGGCCAAGAGGCTTAAGACAACAATCCTATAAAAGAACTCTTATGTGGCAAACACGCACAAAGCTCCATTCAGACCACTCACAGAGTTTGGCATCTGACCTCCATCTCTGTTGCCATCCAAGAAATCAAGCCATCAAAGTGATGATGTGAACCCTGCAAAACTGATCTCCCTAAGATAACAGCTAATGCCACCCTGAATAACAAAAACAATAATAATGCTAATAATGCTAATAATAATGCTAATAATAATGCTAATAATAATGCTAATAATAATAATAATAATGTTTACTCGTGTTCATTGATGTAGAGTTCTGACAATTCATGCCATGCTTCCTGGTCTCCAACAAATCTGCAATAAAAATAGAGTTAGTCTGATGCTGTGCATTTATCATATCACTTAAATTTTTTAAAACAACAGCTATGCAAAATTTGACTGGACATGCAATCATGGGAATGTAAGATTATTTCAGCTCAACACTCACTGTTCCAGATACTCATTGAGCTCCCTGATGGCTTCAGTTGATTTCCCTTGAGCTTTCAGAATGGAGATCTTGCGTTTCCTTGCAGCCTAAAACAAACAAAAAAGTTCTGCATAGTTGTAGTCATTCACAAAGAATACTAAAAAGAGCACTAAAAACCTTGGTTGCAAACAATTAAGACATGATAGCTGATTTGACTTTATGTCTGAAAAGCAGTCAGAAAAAGAGTTTGAAGATTGCTGTCTGAGATAAAGTGGTGAGTCATCTCTAACCATACAGGGAAAATGGCACAGTCCACAACCCCAAATGCCTGTCTTTCTGCTGGCAAGGCACGCATCTGAGGCTGAGGCAGTCAGACTTACATCAGCTGGAAATGGCTTTCTACTCTGTTTGATGTTGAAGTGACCTTATGGAGGATTAGATTCTCATCAGTCTGAATTAGAACGCATTTCTGCTGCTACTCGGACTTTTCCAAAAGCCTCACCCACCTCACACCCACCCACCTCCTCCTGATGGTAGTTGAGTGAAAATCTTCACAGGAGGCTTAGCTCCCATTAGAAGTTCACTGCCACGGCCTATTTTATTTATGGACTGGCACTTGATGGAGTGAGGCTTCCTCTCTTCCTCTCATAACCAAAGACACTGCGGCTGTGCATGACTCATGTCTACAGAGCAGTAAATCTGCTCCTCCTCTAATGCTGCCATCACAAGAAATCTATGTATCCATCATGTTAAAGAGGGACCTACAGCACTTGCCCAGGCCAATTTTGAAGAAGAATGGTACTTTAAAAAACTGTGCAAAGGAGACAAGGATGCATTATTGTAAAAACATGTCACAATTACCACTCCTGAGCCTCAGGACCTGTTTGTCAGATAAGAAACCACTATGGGCCTAAAAAACATATGGAAGTTGGTAGCTCAGAGAATCACACAGCACTTTATTAAACAAGAAGCAAGTCCAAACCACCCCCACTCCCTCCTTTGGTAACTAATGATGCCGAAAACCTGGCACTGGCTCAGAGACTGCTGTTGTCATGATTCTTTTTTAATTAGTGCTTAGAGCAGACGTTAGCTGCAACAACTGGATTATTTACATCATCTCTGGCTGCATGCTACCACCTACCACAACTTTTTATCATTACAAGAACCACAAAGAGGCTGGCATACTTACAGTGTAATAAGCCATTACTAAGAGACTGTGGTAAATCAAACAATTAGGAGATTGAATTATTACATTGGGAATAATACAGTGACATGAATGAATGAATGAATAAATAAATGAATAAATGAATGAAATTTGTGTTCTTCCACGTGTATTATAAATCCCAAAAATGGCCAAGCCCAGCACAGTCAAAAAATATACAGCATAAAAAAAGTAGAAAAATGCGCTTACACAGGCAGAGAAGAATTTTGCCAGATCATTGCTGTAGGTATTGAATGTTGGGAGCCAAGGAAGGGCTAACGGTTTGAAACATTTTTTGGACAGTAATGAAAAAAGAAAAAAAATCTTGAACCTTGAACAATTTTTGTTGATTCAACCATTTTGGTTAATGGGTACCACATCTGTTCCATAGCCTATAATTACAACAGCTCAGTTTCCAATATATGCTTCACATGCTGGGATGCCTTGAAAGTCTTCCTTGTGGTTGCCAATTTTCCGCCAGGACTATACTGATTCTTAAAAAGTGCACTGAAGAACATGAAGAGAAGAGGGTTTTTTCTCAGCTCTCCAACTTGCATCACTTGCATTTCTGCATCTTGCCACAAACGTATTAATTTTAAAAATATTTATCTATAGGCACAAGTCTGCTGATTTGACACCTTCCTCAGAGTTTGTAATAAAATATTTAAAAAATTAATGCTGACAGAACACAATGTCGTATACTGTCACTAAGTTACATTTTTACTAATATACAACATAGGTAAAATTTTTAAGCTAAATAAAGCTGAGTATCCCACTTTTAAGCTACCGGTAATTTCATTACCATAATAAACAATGACGATTTTTAAATCATCAGTGCCATTTAATACAAAAGTATATTCAATTTAATTCCACCATAGTCAGCGTTCCAAAATGACTGGACATACATATATTTATAATAAATAACCCAATGTCTATAGATGGGAAAAAAGAAGTTGGACAAGGATCCCAATCCACTGAGGACTTTTCCACTGTCGCTGTTGGAGATGAACCAATATGGCCATTTTCCTGGCCGATACCAATAAGCCAATAAACTATGCAATTATTTTAAGGCATATATTTAGGACTGATTTAGATAGTTTCCTTGAATATTTTAATGGAACCCAGGAAGACTAGCAACCACTTGGTGGAAACTAACGGTGATCCAAATTAAGAACAAAGAATATAGAACTTGAAATTACAATAAACTCAGATTCTGTCTACACTGCAATACATCACAAATCCTAGTATTCCAAATCAAATCTATAGCAATGATTTTAAGACACCCACAGCCCTGTTTGTGTATAAGAGAGAAGTAAGTGTTCAAATAAAGCAGCTAGCAGTCTTTTAGGTATTTCGGCTCAGGGCTGCCAACTTGAAGCAGGGACTTTAGAACCACCTTCCACTTGGTTTAAACTGTAACAATACTATACACGATATCAACAGACTTCTGGCTACTACATTTTGAGTTCCAGCATGGTTTTCTGTTCATTCTGAGGGAAAAGCATAGCCCACCCCTCCTCTCTTGTTCACGGTGTGAGAGGAAGAGGCTATTAGCCAAGTATGAAGTTCCCCAATACGTTTTCCGATGTGCTGTAGCCTAAATGGTATTGTAGGACAAGCTTTTAAGTGTCTATATGAGATCATTTCATTTGGTTATTGTTTGTTGTTGTTGTTTTTTTTTGTAAATTTGATGTGTGCATTGCCATGGACACACCTCTTCTAGACAGTGCCTGAGAGTAAGAGCAACAGGATGCACATAAGTAAAAAGTCATTGTTTTAATTGTGTTCTGATAGAGAGGTGAATTAAAATGGGTGTTGGAACTGGATAGCCATATTGCTGAAACAGAACTAAGGATATGATAAGTCTGGATGGTCTAAATAAGCAATCTTAAAAATTGCTTCATGGAAAACTCCTAAATGTTGGCCTCGAAAACAGCACTTAGTAAGTATAACACACTCCATTGTTGCTGAACTCCACTGAATACAATTTAAGAAGATCTTCATAGAATCATGTGCAGGCGAGGTGTGTAGGGCTTTGGCAGAGGAAAAACTGCATTAGAGCTGGCCAATAGTAAATCACCACCTTCAAAGTCTTGTCTTTAAACGTATCATTAATATGTCTGACTGCCACTGACCCACACTCATGGCCCTTGAGTGAGAACACACCAGACACGAGAGTCTTATCAGTAATGTGGTTGATGCCAGAGGGAAAAGAGAAGAGTAACACTGCCAAAAGCAGCTAATCTTTAGAGCAGGGGTCTACAAAAGTTTAGTTGTTTAGTCAATTAATCACTCAATGGTTTCTTCCTCTTCAAATGCCAAACCAAAAACTAATCATTGACAAAGCAAAGGGTTTTTGTTCATTTGATTTCTTACCGTATTGGTGGGATCTTCTTGAAGGATGGCATCGTAGTGCTTATTGGCTTCATCATATCTTAAATGAAAAAAAAAATTATTCCTTTGGTCACTTTGACTGAGCAGTGAAATACAATATACATTTACACTAGGTAGCTATACAGTTTAAATCTGATTTTGCTTCTCATTTGACAGCCACTGTCACTTTGATTCACCTTAAACCAGTATTAAATTACCAGTTTTACATGCACCGAAATATGTAACCAAACACTTCTGTCCACTGTTTTCCTCTTTGCCCAAACATAGCAATGTAATTTACACATGAAATTCATATGCAACACAGCAGGCCTCAAACTGTTGGCCTAATCCCACATGATTTTGTTTAGAGAAAATTTATGAGCTGTAAACATCAAATCATACGATAAAAAAATTTGGAAATGGACCGTGCGCTGTACATTTCTCATTACAAATAAAATATGAAAGGATGATTTGAATCATTGCATTTATCATAGTAATGGCGCTGAACAAGCTTCAACTATGTGATTAAAAAGCAGCAAGTCTACTACAGCTTGCATCAAACAGAAGCAACTGTTTCCCATTAGCACTGAGCAGCACTTCCAGAGCTGCTGCTAACCTCACATTCACTTTATTACTCAGCCACACTTTGGGAGATTTCAGGCGGCACCAGGCAACCCCTCATAAGCCACTTGATTCACTTGGTTCCTAAATAAATAATGTGAGTGTGCATTTGAAGCACCCTCATTCAAGTGTCTGTAGCCAATTACATGCTAGCATCCCATTTGTTTATTCTGACAGAGGTCAAGCAATCGGTTGACCAAATAAACTCTAACATAACTGATAAAAAACATTTAAAAACTTATAATTCATCTTCCTTAAGACAAGTTATAGACCGTACAGGGTATAAACCAGGGCCAGTACGAAGATTGCGGTGACATACCAAAATCAGTGCTAAACAGGAAAACACACAAGAAATGCCAGGGTAAAAACAGTAGCAGAGGAGGAAACAGCCACGCAACACAAACCAAAGAAGACTGAGGGACCCCCAGAATAACACTGGTTCAGACCACTTCCTTCCCGGGAATCCCGAGCTCAGGCTGCCGGGCCACAGGACTTTTTGTTGCTAAACCCTTTCTCTACCCATTGCCCTCTTCCTTCTGAGGGATCCAACATAAACACAGGCAACGTTTTACTTGCGCTGTGCATGAACACACCCAGACCATTAACCCATTTAGCATTTCCTAACAGTTTTCTAATCCAAGCTTTCCAAAAGTGCTCTTATAACTCCTTCTGAATTGAGCTTTTAGCGTCCAGTGCTTACCTTTCCAAAGCTTCTAGTCTCATGCCTGTTAATCGCTTCACTCTGTGGCTGTCAGGAAACTGCTTCCTCAGTTCCTGGAGACAGGTCTGCAAAGCAAAAAGGGAGCCCCCAATTATAACTAACAACACGTAAACTGAATTGTAATTTTACTCTGAAACTAAAACTGTCCATGGAAAATTAAAAAACAAAACAGAAGGATTAAATATTTTCATTCATCAGCTGAAGCTAAAAACCTCAAACACATCAGAGCATCAATTGATTGGCCCCCATTTCTATTTAATTACACATTTAGTATTTATTAACACATAATATGTAAAGAGCACAAACACAGTCTAAAATAGTCATCACAAATATATACTTTTGCGTAAAAAAAGTATATTTACTAATCACAAATCTAAAACTGGAAGATTGTGCTAATAAGACAATCTTACCAAAGCCAAGTCATCCCGACTGCAGTCCAAAGCAGCAATCATCACCTGTTCATAAATAATCCAAACTGGGCAGATAACACATAGAAGACGTATTAATAACAATATTTAAATAAAGGTCAAAACATCCATTAAAATAAATGCATTGTGTCTATCTACCACAAAAATCTATAAACCTTGAGATAAAATGTAAAAAATAATAATAATAATAATTAAAACCACTTAAAATACCCTCTACTTAATATTAGAGGTTATCTGTGTATCTTGTACTAAAAGTCTTACTGCAGACATGTCAGATGCAGGCCTGGGGGCCAAATTTAATATTATTATTATTAATAATAATAATAATAATAATAATAATAATAATAATAATAATAATAATATGTGTGTGAAAATGAAGGTGGCTTTGGCAAATGAAAACATGTAAGTAACATTTTAGCACAGATAGAAAACACAAATCAATTTATTTTAAACAATTTCTTCACATAATTTAGGATTTGATGAAGGTAAAAAACATTTAGGTAAACTTTTAGGTTTTATTGAACTGTCTGGATAAATATTTACAAACATGTTAATCTTTCACTCACTGTAATAACCACTGATCCATTTATTTTACACTCTAGCACAAAATAGATAAACAAAATTTATATTGACGATATCAAATGTGTTTATCCACGTTTGTACTCCACTTTACAAATTAATTTAAACAGAAGTCAGTTTACAAAAATGATCAAATGTGAAATATACTTACTATCGTCTCCTAGTTTGGATGCATGTTCAGAGATCAGTTCTTCACCGACATCCACAATTTGTTCACTATTCCTGCTGTTGTCCTCTCTCCACTTTCGCAACTTGTCTCTCATATCTGTGAGAATTAAATAAATTAAAATTTAGTTATATCGCATCAGTAAAATAAGGAGATTAACCTAGACAGCCTGCATGCGGCTGAATAAAAATATAGAAATCGGATCGGATGCCATCACCAAAATACACAGTTCAAGGTTGGAAAACAGGCTCATCAATCATGCACGTTCTCTAATTTTAAAAGGAAGGATACTGTCCTTTCACTGTCTTTTACGGTCTTCCGAGTTAGCAGAGTAAGCTAGCACCAAAGCTAACAGTTAGCGGTATGTGTACACTTATCCTGTGTTATGTTGACAAACAGTGATGATACAATAGAAAGCTTTCCCACCTTGCTAAGCCGGATCGCCCACAGAGAATAATGTTCTATTGTTTACCGTAATTCAAATAAATCTGTAGTTTTACCTTCCCATCCCACGTCGTACAATTCTGAAACCGACGCCATCTTCCCCCTTTGACAACAGACGGCGTGCTGACGTCAACGTAGATTTGGGCGTGGAATAAAAAAAAGGCGAATGTGAATAAATAAACATATTAATAATGAAGACCATAGGACAGCAGTGCCTGACCATAGAACTATAATAAAATCTTCTTAAAATCTTCTATTCTTATTTATAGATCCATGTGCCTGACTTATGTTTAGCAAGTATGGCAACGTACTTATGCCTTTTTAATAAAGGTAAATATGTATGTGTTTGAGGTTTTATAGGTCATGGGAACACAATACTGGACAGCAATGAAATGTCATACTCTACAGCCTAATAGTATTGTGTTTCACTTAAGTTTACACCGTAGTCTGATTTTCAAGTTGCCTGATTGATTTATTGTACAGTCTTTGTACAGTCTTCACAATTTGAAGACAAGACAAAATAATACAAAAAGTACAATACAAGATCGTAAGACCTAAGCCAATTAGGTTTTGTTTTTTGGTCTCTATTTGATATGCAACAACATCAGAGTTGGCATAATCAACTGTTCTTCCAGTTTGAGGTTTACAGCCCAGAGTGCTCCCATCACCACGGGCACCACTGATGCCTTCACCTTCCAGACCTTCTCCAGCCTCCAGCTCTTCCTTGAGCCCCCATTTCTCATGTTCCTTCTTCCTGATATTGCCATCTCTTGAATCTGGA